AAGGAGCAACCTCTTAACCCTTATTTCTTTTTGGTCCACTCATGTTGTTCCTATTTGTATAGAAGAATGGGCGTCGTTCATGAAAAATCGCATCTTTTGTAGGTTTTCTACTTTTTGTTATACTTCATGTATACTCTTGCCCAAATATTTTATAAAATATATTATTTAAAAAAAAAGTGTTTGGTTCGAAATTGGACTGAAGGAAAGAGACGTTCATATGATGGTAAGATATCTCCAGTGCTGACATCAAGGTGATGTGTCTAAGCCTTGGAAAAGCCTTTTTTTTCCTCTTTATGGTAAGACCTTATACATTTTTATCCTCCCCAGAGCTCTCGATGCAACAGTTTAGTATGCTGTGCCTTTTCTTCTCTTTGTAAGGGGACACGGAGAGGTCAGTTCTTTACCTCAAGTGCCTGCTTTCTTGGAACCTTGCTCTCCATTGTGATCCGCAAGACCGATAGTTTCCTTGGCCATTTCACAGAAATGGTTGATTATTTGGAACCTTTCGCTTCATTTTGATCAGCAGTACTAATATTTTCCTCTTACCCCTATAAGGTATTCTGATCTTTCGATCAGTCTTATTGTAAAGCATTAGTGTTTGGAATTCTTGTAATCTGATTTCTTTCGCCAGAAAAGCTTATGTGGCTTACTCCTCGGTAAAAAAAGAGAGGCTAATGTGGCTTATTTATCTGAATTCTTGTTAACCCACAAGAAAAGTAAAAAGAGTTAAATTTGGTGTGGTGGACAAGGAAAGCTGACTTTTGTTCCTCTAGGCTGCTGCAGTAAATTAAAGATCATTTTTTGACATGGGAGATTCCTGGTTTTCTGTTGAGCTTTTTGAATTAAATAAAAGAAGAGGAAGTGTTGAAGAGTCCTAAATTGGTCCATAAAGGGATGCGTGATCTCTTTTTGGGGTTGAGTTAGGCCCAGGGTCCATTTATCAAAAAGTAACAGGTACAAATAATAAATCGTATATACCGCTTGTTCATGGGGTTCTTCCCAAAAATACATCAATAAAATATTTGCTTTTTAAAAGAAAAAAAACACCATATTTCAGAATAATAGTAATTATTAGTGAAAATTTGTTCACCTTCAAAAGCACACCCACATGCTTTGTGTCAACAGTTTTGATGTGTATTTTATTCTTCTATTTTTTGAGATATGAGGGTTCAAAAGCTCCATATAATGGACCCCAACTAGTTTGGGGATGAGGCATAAGTGATTAACTGATATGTATTATGAGTATGATCCTTTATGGACAACCATTTGAAAGCTAAGATGGTTGGTGTTCAGATCGGCTATTGGGCTGTCTAGGGTTGCTGGCATAGTGATACATGAATGAAACTTTTATCGTGTTTTTTCATCAAATCATTCTTCTTCTCTTCCAATGTAGTTGTCAATTGCCCAATGTTGTTAACATTAAGATATTTGGTACATATTGTGATCTTTCAGGTAAGCCAGTGTATATGTATAGCATGGGAGGTCTTGCTGAATACTGTGTTGTGCCAGCACATGCATTGGCTGTTCTACCAAATACATTGCCATACACAGAATCTGCCATTTTAGGATGTGCAGTTTTTACTGCCTATGGGGCTATGGCGCATGCTGCAGAGGTGCGCCCAGGTGATGCTATTGCCGTGATTGGCATAGGAGGTGTTGGCTCAAGGTGAAAAGTTATCATGCATTGGCTTTGTATTCAACTTCTGATTATGAACTCAGAAACCATTAGCTCTTAGAATTGAGTCAAAATAGGAGACACGGATTTTCCAAATATTAAACTTCCCATTCAAAAAAGAAAGATAGATTTGTTTTGTGTAAGCTGACAGGAGTATTAAGAATTAATCTCATCGTTGCCTTTGAATATTGGGGGCTGAGTGCCATATGGGAGAATCGTTGAGATGAATCATATAGTGATTAGGGAAAATAAACTACACGAGTTTCCAAATATTGAACTTACGAGAGTCGAAAAGAATTAGTTTTGTGTAAGCTGACAAAAGTGTTAAGAATTAATGTGATTGTTGCCTTAGGATACTGTGTGCCAGGAGAATTGTTTTTTTTTTTTTTTTTTTCTGATAAGGAATGTGCCAGGAGAATTGTTGAGATGAATAATATATTGATTAGCAAATAAAACAGAAAAAAGAAAAGAAATAAAAGAAATGAAAAACTGCCATGGATGTGCACCCAAGGGTGTGGCCTAGTGGTCATTGAAGTGGGTGAGAACTATGAGGTCTCAGGTTCAAATCCCAGCATAGGCAAAAAAACACTTGGTGATTTCTTCCCATCTATCCAAGTCTTGGTGGATAGAGTTACCTGGTACCTATTTCTGGTCAGAGGTGACAGGTATCCCGTGGAATTAGTCGAGGTGCGCGCAAGCTGGCCTGGATACCACGGTTATCAAAAAAAACTACCATGGATGTATAGTTAAAAAAGGATTAATATCCACTCAAATTTGACGTGTGGATGCACTTTGAAACATGTCTAACACACAGTTGGCCCTGTTGCAGTAGTCAGTTTCCTATTCTGACATCTATCACATAGCAGACACAAACACAGCCAAATGTGCACAATGTTCTGTGAAGTGCATGACAATTGGGATTTGTTTCACATCAAATATATAAAACATGTCGATGAGCCACATCAAGATATGAAATTGGCGTCCATTTGGCAATTCGTTCTTTGCTACCCTGTTGCCGATTGGGAAGATCCCAAATTTAATATTCTGATCTATTTAGACCGCAGTTCTGGTGGTACTTTGAAATGAAAAGAGAATTTCCTAAGGCATTGCAGGCTCCTCCACGTGTCAGTCTTTTAAACCCTATTTCTTGGATTACATATTGGACCCTATTATCCTGTAGCCATCAGGCCGGAAACAAAGGGGACTGGATTAGGCGATAGACCTAGCACGAGCGTGGACCATCTTAATTTGATTAATGTTAGTTATGAACTGAGTAAGACAAAATTTTCAGTGTTTCTGACATACCCACATTATGCCAGCGGTCTGAACAGTGATGAGGCACTGAATATATCTAAATAGTAACTTCCATTTTAATTCAGGCAATTTATTCAATGTCATGTTCTGCTCTTCATTTTTATGCATTCACAGTTGGTTTCTTAGGTTACCATTTTTCTTCTTCATACTTTATCTTTGTCCGTTATTACCCTACTATCATGTGGGTGGGTTTTCTGTATTAAGCTTGCTACTTTTATGCTGATTTGCTTCTGTGATTTATTACCTGAAAACATGGTGCAGCTGTCTGCAAATAGCAAGAGCATTTGGGGCATCAGAGATTATTGCTGTAGATGTGCAAGATGAGAAATTGCAGAAAGCTAAAATGTTTGGAGCCACTCACTGTGTAAATGCATTGAAGGAGGACACAGTGAAGAGAATAAAAGTATAGACTTCTCCACTTAACTCATTTTGTACATACTATCAAATTAACTATCAAAAACCACACAATTTTTACTCTTTCTGATTTCTAGATAAATACGTAGATCATTTGCTAATATACATTAAGGCCAAGAGTACATCTGTATGTGCTCTATTGTAGAAAATTATAGGAAAATGCTGCGCAACTGGACCATGAAATTATTCCAAGTGAGATTTATAGATTTTGATTTTGCGAGCACTTGAATTTTGACCTAGAGGTTATTAGCCAACTTGTGTATTCAGGAAGGGCTGTTTTCACACTAAGTTTCTGCCTACTAATTACATGTTGGATTTTGTCAAAGACAGGCTGCAAATCTTGTTTAAGTGAAATCTCATAACTTGAATAATTAGTTACCAGTGAGACTGGCTCTGCCAGAGCTTCTTCCTTTCGTTACCATTTTTCTGTCTTCCATCATTGTTCTAGCCAGTTTTTGCTCCTTATGTTTCTGATGCTTTACTTTGTCTGTTGGTATCTCCATTCTGGTTAATCTACTTGTATGATATTACCCTTTTTGATGTTTGATAACTGTGTCACGCACTCACACCTATGGGTAAAAGTCAGTACAACAACAACAAGCCCAGCTTAATCCCATGGGTAAAAGGCAGTATGGACTTTCAGGTGATTAATGGCAAGACCGTCCTAATAAACTAGTGTTCTTTTTTTGCGACGGTGGTGTCCGAACCAGCTTGTGCGTACCTCGACTATTCCACCGGGTACCTGTTAGCTCCCACCAACAAGGTACCAGGTAACTCTGCTCACCAAGGCTTGGGCAGATACGGAGAAACCACATAATGTGTTTTGCCTCCGTTGGGATTGAACCTAAGACTTTAAGGTTCTCCTCCCATTTCATTGACCGCTAGGCCACACCCTTGGTTGCTAGTACTATTTAACTATTGGTACATTATTAGTTAATTTCTTTTGCTTTTATTGACCAGATATTAGATTTTCAATCCTGAACTGCTGAACAAAAACTGTGTTGCAACTATCATTATGGTCCAATAGTTAAGGAAAGTTCATGAATATAAGACTAATTAAGACATTCCAACTATTACAAATAGCATGTTATTGGTAGCTGTTTGGCATTTTTTAATTTGGATTTGGATTTTTTTTCTAACATTCTCAAATGCCTTGCACGTGCGTTTGTTGGGAGATCCATAGTTTTTTGCTTTTCAGATTGTTTTAGGTTCCACTTCTCAAGCAAATGTTTCCCTTGGCATGTGAGAACATACCGACTGCTTAAACTAATGTTATCAGCTATTTGAATTGTACAGGACATCACAGGAGGCATGGGTGTTGACGTAGCTGTTGAAGCTTTGGGAAAACCACAAACATTCTTGCAATGCGTGCAGAGCGTTCGGGATGGAGGCAAAGCTGTGATGATCGGACTGACACTATCTGGTGCTAAGGGGGAGGTGGATATAAACCACCTAGTGCGACGACAGGTGTGTGTTTTTATGTGCAGGTCTTTTATTGCTTGTCAGTTGTCACCCTCAATTCCAATCTGCTAATCCTAAAGATCCATTCCCTCTTTTGATATGTCTTAAATTGTTAAGCATTGAATGAAAATGAATGGGTCATTTTTACTATTCATATACATGAACATACTTCTGAAAACACATTCTGTTAGAATGAAGATATTAAGGGGTAAATATAACTAAGGGTAGTATCCATCCAGTGCATGTAACTTGAACTGTAATTGTAATTTCTACTGCAAGGTGATACAGAAATTTTAGTTAACCCCATAGATGGGATAGGTTGACTACAAGAATAACTTTGCATATACTGGTTGCCCATACACGCCAAGGTTAGAGTGAATTCAATGCTCATTTTTGCCCATACATTGAGTGGACAATGTACATCCCTTGCCATGTCAGTGTATGAATTTATTTATTTTTTCAACATGTCAGTGACTCAGTGTATGAATTGGCATGGGCCTAGTCTGTGTTCTGTTAGAAAAATATGCTGTATGTCGATTTTAAAAACATTCAGATAGTTAAGTCATTAAAATGGTATATCAAACGCCGTACTTGTGTATACTAATAAGAATTTTAATTCAATTAAAAAAGGCAGGTGTAAGGCTGCGTAGGTGAAAATAGTCCATATACATTGGGAATTTATTACTCTATTTGGAGCATGGAAATCCATATTATGTTTAGGTAAGGCCATACGATTAAATATTTCCTGAGCACAGTTGTGTTTTCTTTAGAGTTTAAGCAGCGCTCGTATTCTCACTGTTGATATTTGTGATGCCAGATAAAAGTAATTGGTTCTTATGGAGCCAGAGCAAGACAAGATCTCCCTAAGCTGATTAAACTCGCCGAAAGTGGCATATTCAATCTTAGTGCAGCTGTTTCAAGGACATGCAAATTCGAGGAGGCTGGACAGGCATACAAAGATCTTGATCAGGGAGCCATTTCTGGACGCTGTGTTGTTGAGATAATGTAATTGTGACATCTACAGCAAGCATCACCCATTTGACATTCATGTAAACTTCAGTTTTCTTGGGGTCAAAAGCTAGCAAATGTTGTTGGTGTTTAATGAAGCAAACGGTTAACACCTGTACATACATGTAAAACAAAAATAAAGCGAATTTTGAAAAGCGTGCTGTCCAAAAACATAATTCTCAGAATTTACCGGTGTAGGGTGTTTTTATATCCAGTTATGTTCCAATAGGTTATGCTTCATTGGCGATGCCGATAAGTGTAAACTGATTTAGGCAAATGTCCCCTTTTTAGACCATTGTTTTGATACACCTTTAGCCCTTGGAAAATTACCCATTCCGGACAACGTTTCGGATATAATGTATGCACATGTAAGTTTCAATATGCTAAAAAAATATGGCAAAATACCTTATCATTCCCCTAAATTTGACCCGTAAATTTGACACGGATTATTAGTTACAGCCTTAAACTATTCGTGGTTTTAATTACCCCCTTCAACTTGGCATTTTGAGAGTCATTACCTCCCTAGACGTTGATGTGGCAAAAAGTGTGGGTGCACTCGCCTGTCACATGTATTTTTCTATATATGTTGCATTTTTTTGAAAAATAAAACATATTTTTACCTTTCTAAATATGTTACTTCTTTAGATAATTTTTTTCGAATACAATTTATAATAAAACTTGGATATAACTACATTATTTAGGCTAAATTTTTTTATTTGGCTAAAAATAATAAAGTTTTAGTTAATCTTTTTTTTTTTTTTTTTTTTTTTTTTTTTTTTTTTTTTTTTTTTTTTTTTTTTTTTTTTTTTTTTTTTTTTTTGAATTTGACTTGATAATAAAAACTTATACAATTGAAATAAATAGTCGTATAGTTATAGCTAGAGTTTCTCTCTCTAAAAATGAATCCTCAACCCTATAAAACTCCAAACACAATACCACCAAAACCTCCTGACATTAAACATGCTAAATCCATACAAAATATTTTGGAGAACAAAGCATCCTTCAAAGAAATGTTAACAGCCTCCGACCCAATGATCTTTGCACCAAATCGGAGCCAGTCCAACATGGACCTGACAGAAACTCTCTCAGAAGAAGGAACGTTCGAGCAATCAATAACATCTAGCACACGAGGCATTACAATGATTTCGTTAACAGAGGAAGATAGACAACGAATTTATAAGCCCTGGAAGTGTTCTATCATTGTGAAGCTTGTTGGAAAACGTATTTTACACCATTACTTAAAAAAAAGATTCAAGAATTATGGAGGCCAACAGAGGATCAATGAACACCACTTAATTATGTCACACGCTCTTAATTACTTTTTAGATGCTTTCACCACATCTCACTCCTTAGCAAGCTGGATTAGTCCACTGAAAAACCACTCTACACACCCTAATTTAGACCTAATTCACTAGACAGACCTTTACTAGATATTGAAATTAAAAGAGCTTTTTTTGTCGTTTAAACCATTCAAAGGCCCAGGGCCGGATGGCCTTCAATCCTTTTTTTTCAAAAATACTGGAAAATTATAGGACATTCTGTAGTGAAGCTTTGTCATGATATTTTTAAAAATCGGGTAATCTCCAGAGACATAAATAGAACCTATCTTTGTCTTATCCCAAAAATCCCTAATGCTAATAACATTAGGAAATTTAGACTAATTCGCCTTTGCAATACTATTTATAAATTAATTACAAAAATCCTTGCAAATCACCTAAAACCATTCCTAGAACAAATTATAAGTCCCTTTCAAGCCAGCTTCATGAAAAATAGAAGAGTTTCTGACAATGCAATCATCATTCACGAACTAGTTTCCAATTTAAAGAAACTAAAAGGCAAACAAGGCCACATGATCCTAAAAATTAATCTAGAAAACACCTTTGATCGTTTAGAGTGGTCTTTTGTACATCACACTCTTAGATACTTCAATTTCCCTCCTAACTTCTCCAAACTATAATTAAATTGTATATCAACCAACTCTATAGCAGTTTTAGTTAATGGCTCCATCACAAAATTCTTCGAGCCAAGTCGAGGTATTAGGCAAGGTGATTCCATATCACCTTATATCTTCATCCTTTGTTTGGAACTGCTATCAAGATATATAAATCATTAAGTTGATATTAGAAAATGGGACCCAATAACCATAGGAAGAAGACGTCCAAATTTTTCTCACTTATTTTTTGCAGATAATCTTACTTTAATGGCTAAGGTTAATAACAAATCATGCCAAGCTATTAAAAATGGTTTAGATTATTTTTGTGAATTGTCAGGACAATGTATTAACAAATCTAAATCAAAAATTCTTTTTTCAAAAAATTGTCCACCTTCCCTAATTAAGGATATTACGAATAGGTTGGGTATTAAAAAAAAGTAAAAAGTTTGGCACCTACCTAGGATTCCATATATTAAACAAATACTCAAGGCCAATAGACTATCAATTCATAATTGATAAAATTAGATCTAAACTAGCGACCTGGAAAACGAAGTTTATTAATATAGCGGGAAGAAATACCCTTTCCCACTCGTGCCTCAATTCAATACCCAACCACTATATGCAATACACCTTACTTCCAAAAAAAGTCCTAAATAAAATTGATAAAGTTCAAAGGGATTTTATATGGGGTACTACCACAAAAAAACTCATCTAGTAAAATGGTCAAGTATTTGCCAACCAAAATCCAATGGAGGTTTTGGCATCCACAATGCAAATGCTAAGAATTTATGCACCTTAGCTAGCCTAGTATGGAGAATTCTTACCAGTGCCACAACCCTCTGGGCTAGATTGATCATCACATCTTATGGAACTAGTACTGCTAAAAACGAAAACTCCTTCATTTGGAAAAGCATCCAAAAGGGATGGGAATTATGTTCAAAAGGTATTACATGGTCATCCCACTATCATACTAATATGAACATATGAGAGGCCAATTGGATTCCCAGTTTAGAAAGCCTTAGAAATGTTGTGGAAGGCCCCCTCTCGATTAGTGATTATTCCCTAAAAATTAAGGACATCTTTGATGGTAAAAAATGGAACTTCAATAATTTATCGATTAACATCCCAAATGACATTAAATAAAATATTTCTAAAGTAAGAATTCGCTCAAATGGATCAACTAGTGTTACTCCTATATGGTCACTAATAACAAAAGGTTTTTTCACTACCAAGACTTGCTACAACCTTATAGAACACCCTCCTGACAACCAATTAGACTTCAAATGAATTTGGGATCTAAGTTGTCCTAATAAGATTAAATTTTTTTTGTGGCAATGTCTTCACAATAGGATACCATGTAGAAAATACCTTGTATGAATTGGTATAAACATTGATCCTTACTGCCCTACATGCAAACGTAAAGAAGAAGAATCCATCACCCATATTTTCTTTAATTGTAAAACCATCAAACACTTTTGGGATAGTTTTGGATGGCAAACTTTTATAAAGCACAAGGTGACCACTGGCTTCTTCAGTTAAAAGACTTTGACTACCCACTAAAGAACAGATTTATTAATTGGAATTCCTTCTTTTCATTTGTCATCTGGTATATCAGGTTAAATAGGAATAACAACAATCAAAGCAATACTGATACTCCTGTTAATGTGGATTAAATTATTCAAAAGGCAATAGAATTTAATCTCCTAACTGATAAAAACCACAACCCTCAACAAAAAATCTCCATCAAAGTAAAATGGCACAAACTACCAAGAGGATGGTTTAAATTAAATATAGATACTAGTTTCAATAACAACAATCAGAACTGTGGCCTGGGAGGTGTATTCAGGAATGCTAATGGAAAATGGGTGGTAGGTTTTGCAAAATCTACCCATGCTAGCGGATCATTAGAAGCAGAAATCAAGGCACTCCTAGAGGGACTCCGAACAACATGGGAATGGGGAATGTTCCTGTAACAGTTGTCTCGGGTCGTCCTCGTTCACAAACTAGAAATTTGAAAGAAGGTTTTTAAATTAGAATTGATAAAATCGTACTGAAGATCGACCACGGCGCAAGAGATTGAATGGATTAACTATATTATAAATTGAAAAATAACTAGAAGAAATTTGTTATAAAATAAATATTCATAATTTTGCATCAGAAAAAGTTAGAAAATTATATTTCAAATAATTAATATATATAAAAGTTTTTTATATTATACAAAAATAATTAAAGACCTCTTATGGAAGTTTAAGTTTAGGCCCCCAATAGTATTGAGTCGCCCCTGACAGACTCCACGGAGGTAATTCACTCAATACAACAAGGCAATAGACTATATGATGACATTGTTAATGAATACAGGTTATTAATGCACCAAGAGAAGGAAGTAACCCTCCAACATGTATTCCGACAAGGGAATAATGTAGACCATAGTTGGTAAAGAAGGCAAATGCTCAAACAAGGGGAAAAGACATTTTGTTCAACCGCCTTTTTATGTAGAATCTTTTGTGGGAAATGAACTAGAAGAACAATATGTTTTTGTTAAAAATTTATCTTATGATGCTTGCAATGGTTTAGCAAGCCTAGGCAATCAATGTGTCCTTAGTGACGCAATGTATGGAAGTAATGTACTAAACACTATGTAGTTTTTAATATAAATATTTCATGTTTGCTAAATAAATAAATAAATAGTCAAGACGTCTAAAAAGTTATAAAAATACATAGTTTGAAATTATTTATTTTGGCTATAATTTTTTATATATTTCTAAATTATGGTGCTCTAAATATATATATATATATATATATATATATATATATTTTACCTGAAAATAGTAAAAATACACAGTTGAAATAAATAGTCATTGTATCAAAAGAAGAAATAAAAAGAATGTACAATTGCAAAAAATAACTTACTTTATGGATACATTTTTAGAGAAATAAAAAAAAGGCAGCACGGTGCACTAAGCTCCCGCTATGCGCGGGGTCTGTGGAAGAGTCGGACCACAAGGGTCTATCGTACGCAGCCTTACCCTGCATTTCTACAATAAGTATTTTCTAGAACAATAAGTATGTTAGAAATAATAAGTAATTTCTTGCAATTGTTCACTCTTTTTATTTCTTCTTTTGATACAATGACTATTTATTTCAACTGTGTATTTTTACCTTTTCAGGTAAAATATGTAAAAAGTATATTTTTAGAGCACCATAAGTTAGAGCTATATAAAAAATTATAGCCAAAATAATTAATTTCAAACT